AAAAAAAAAATCCAAAAGAGATGAAATGTTTTGTTTCAGCTTTTTTTTTTTCCAAATGAAACTTTTTGACTTGAAATGACTTTTCATTTTGAATTTTACTTCCATTTTTATTAAAAAAAGGTAAAGACCAAAGCATTTATTTTTGGGTTGAACAAAATATTTTGTTCGACCTGAAACTCATTACTTTTCAGGTTTTTTGCATTTTTCTGAAAAATGTTCATTTTGGGTGGACCCCAAATCATTCATTTTCCCCCCCCATTGTTCAGTTCAGAAAACGGAACCAAACCATCAGCTATTCCCACAGCTCGGTCTGGTTCTGCTGACTGAGCACAAGTTCCTCACATGTAACAACTCTCCATCTCGTGAAGCAGTGATGCTGTTAAAAGACAGCCACACACAATGCCTACCCTCCCTGGGGGAAGGGCATGTTGCTGACAGATGTGCCATTGGTAAATTCTTTTCAAAGAGGATGCAGCCAGCAAGGGAATATCCCCTACAGATATTTCTCCTTGAATCTATGAGTCCAGTTTCTGACCCTGGCTTACCCGACGTTGAAACATCTGAATGGGTCTCATCCAGTAGCGTAGCTAGTGGGGGAATGGGGCAGCGGCTGCTCTCCCACTGAGCACAAGTGGCGCCTTTTCAATTTCTTGGCGCCTTTATAATTTTTACTCACCTGGTGGTGCTCCGGGTCTTCAGCGGCACTTCAGCGGCAGGTCCTTCACTCGCTCCAGGTGTGTTCGGCAGCACTGAAGGACCCCCGCCGCCGAAATGCTGCCAAAGACCCTCATCAAGAAGTGAGGCTGTTGTGTTTGCAGGCTGGTGGTTTGACTCTGGTGACAGAGGTAGGAAGAAGTGTAAGGTCCATTGTTTTCAATGAATGGCTTATGTATGATTGTGTTCTACTCTGCTAAAAAGAGCTACTGCAGCTCCTCCAGGAACTAAAAACTGGCTGGTGATTAAGGCAAGTGTCCTTCTGATTAAGGCAAGTGATTAAGGTTGTAACCCCGCCCACAAGGTTCTCCCTCCCGGGGGAGGCTCACAAATACTGATTCAAATAGATTCTCCAGAGGCCATCAGACAACGAAAGGGCTTTTGGATACACAGCCTGAGTTTAAACAGACTCAGGGCCTTCTTCCTGATCCAGCGAACAGACAGGACCTTCTGTCCAAGGCAGACCCCAACCCTTGCAAAAGGGTTGGAAGGCCTTGACAAGCTAGGGCCCCATAAGACCGATGGGTGACCTCTAGTAAGCTTTTAGCATGCGTGTAGGTTCTTGTATTGTTTTGACATTTTCTCTGTAATGCTTTCACCTTAAGAATAAATGTGCTCGCTCAGAAAGAGCGGTGTGGTAACATAACTGCGGGCAATGCATGGGCATAGCCTCTGGAGAGAGAGCAAAGCATGGACACTGGCGTTTTAAGCAGGCTGCTTGCTGGGAATAGTCTGAACACCCTGATTGGGGTGTGTGTGGGGGGGGGGAGACATGGGTTTCTGCCTAAAACAGATGATAGTGGGGGAGCCAGGAGCCCAGAGTGGATGCCCTTGGTGGACCATGAAGGGGTAGCAGAGGTGCAGGTGCCCTGAACTGTAACAGAGGGGGTTCAGGATTATCTCAGGTATCACCTGGTACCAGCTCTTTGATTCTGGCTTTCACGGTACTGATGGCACTGGTGCAGATCACCATGGTACCCGTGATCTTGGTACCACCCACCAACAGGGCAAAACTTGTTAATGCATAGGGTTCCAGGAGAGGACCTTGCCACCTGGGATCTCTCTCTTCAGGACTGGAGGCCCATCTGTTTGCTTCTACTAAAGTGCTCCCATCGGTACTGACCCGAATACCTTCTTCTCTGCCAGCGTCGCAAAGAGCTCACTCCATTCAGGCTCCAAGTTCTCCTACAGGGACAGCTCCACCATTCCATGAGGAATATTCCTTTCCCTTCATGGTGTCTCCCATGCCGCCCCTTGTCCTTGGGAGGAGCTCCCCATAGATACTCGCAAACCTACCTCATTATCTTCCTTCAAAACCCTTCTTAAAACTCTCCTTTGCCATGATGCTTACATAAAACTTGACAACGGCTAGGCTGCTGCTGCTGTGTTGAGGCCTTTCCCCATAATTCAGTCCAGTATTTCTCCAGTATTGTTTCCTTGTACTTCCCCATCTGTCTGTCGGTATCCACCTTTTGCCTCTTGTCTTGTACTTTTAGATTACAAGCTCTTTCGGGCTCTTTTGTATAGCAATGCACCATGATTGGGGATATCAGACAGTGCGGTAATACAAACAGTAAATTATGATCAGAATGTCCACACTCTGTCTCTCGGTCTGGCTTCTCAGGCATGCTCCCACAATGTTGACTCCCTGTCTAGTCCCCCTCTTCTTGGGATGGTGGGCCCAGATACTCTAGGCCCCCAGACCAGTGCTGACCCCCAAGTCTCCCCAGTAGCTTCAGCTAGGTCAGAAGAGACCATGGGATCATATAGTCAGATTTTTTTAGAAAAAGCATCCAATCTTGTTTTAAGAGTGGAGAATCCACCATGCTAGTTGGTAAACTGGTCCAATGGCTAATTACTCTCAATGTTAAAAAGATACACCTTATTTCTGTCTGAATTTGTCTAGCTTCAGCTTCCAGCCATTGGATCGTGTTAGAACTTTATCTGCGAGATTGAAGAGCCCATTATTAAATATTTGTTCCCCATGTAGGTTTGACAGGTTCAGTCACAGAGACCCCCTTGGGACTGTCACCTGATGTGCTGAAATTACCTCCTGAGCCCGTTTTCCCTGTCAGCTTGGGACTCCAGAACCCTGTCTTGTTGAGCCAGACATGCATGCCTGCTGCAACACAGACCCAGGGTCTGAACCACATTCCCAAAGCTTCAGGCTTTAACTGAAAACCACCAAGCAGGTACTTCTGTCTCCAGCACCCAGACACCCAGCTCCCAGTGGGATCCAAACCCCAAATAAATCCATTTTACTCTGTATAAAGCTTATACAGGATAAACTCATAAATTGTCCGCCCTCTATAACATTGATAGAGAGATATGCACAGCTGTTTGCTCCCCCAGATATTAATCACTTACTCTGGGTTAATTAATAAACAAAAGTGATTTTTATTAAGCATAAAAAGTAGGATTTATGTAATGTCAAGTAATAACAGACAGAAAAAACTAAGTTACCAAGCAAAATAAAACAAAACACGCAAGTCTAAGCCTAATACATTTAAGAAACTGAATACAGGTAAATCTCACCCTCAGAGATGTTCCAATAAACTTCTTTCACAGGCTACACTCCTTCTTAGTCTGGGCCCAATCCTTTCTCCTGGTACAGTTCTTGTTAGTTCCAGCTCAGGTGGTAGCTAGGGGATTTCTCATGACTGGCAGCCCCTCTTGTTCTGCTCCACCCCCTTTTATAGCTTTGGCCAAAGGCGGGAATCCTTTGTCTCTCTGGGTTTCCACCCCTCCTTTTAAATGGAAAAACACCAGGTATAAGATGGATTCCAGTATCAAGTGATATGGTCACATGTCACTGTAAGACCTCATTTTTCATTACTCACAGGCTAGCCCCCACGTTGTAGCCTGATTTAGGGTGTACTGATAATATTAATTTGGATAATATGGGAATTTAATTTATTAATTTAATTTTATTCAATAATATTAATAATAATTATTATTAATTAGTATGGGTTTAGGCTCGCCAATCTGTTTGATCAGAAGATAAAAGTTCTTGTCCTGAATCAGGCTCCACAGAATTTATAAAGGACCCTCGGGGGTATGACAGGAAGCTCACACTGAGACAGATATAGCCTTAAAGACTTTTTATTAAAATCAATAATAGTAAGTAAATGGTAAAATATCCAGAGTTACAAAG